ACTTATAAAAATTCAAACTATAATTATTATATAATACTTATTTGATAATAAAAAACATTATTTATTTTATATTTCAAATTGAGTCAAACAATGAAAGAGTGAATATATTAGGAGTAAACTCTTGGGGCCAGGCATTAAAACTAGCCATTGATTGGAAACCTCAATCGTCAAACACTTCAACAATTAAAGTGAGTTTTCATTTTGAAGACGGAAAAGGAGGCATATATGAAATGGTAGAACAAAATCTGGTTCCGTATGACAAACATAAACGCGAATACAAAGCGCCGGGAATTTCATTAGAGATACTCAACCCGTTTCGTCGGTTGAGAATTAAATTTAGAGGATATGTCACAAAAAGGGGATCAAATAAATTGGTTTTTCTCAAAATGAGACTCTTATGGATAGCCATGTCTAATGTGTTTGACTTTGAATGCGATCACAAAAGAGAATTCATTGAAAGCGAACTCAAAAGTAATTCAAAGTTTTCATCAATGGATGAAATAAAGTTTGAGAATAGATTTGAACAAATGGGACAAATGAAGGGCACGTTTCAGGCGGACGATCGCGACGAAGAGAAACTGTTTTTGTGGGGAAATAAGAGTAAGAAATATGTAGAAGAAAACAGTCGACGAAAAATATATCGATTATTTGGTTATTCAAAGGTATTCTATATTTTTGTAAATATTTATTAGAAAATCAAACAAAATACAGAAATAAAACCATATTAAATTAAGCACTCTCATTTTATAAAAGTGAAAATATAGAATCTATAATAGATCAACAATTAAGTTAATGCTCCCTAAAATAATAATGCTTACATACGAATTGATCCAGGTTGTACTATAAGTTAGTAGTATAAATGATCATGTAATCAAATGAGATTTGTATAATGGAAATATGATTTAGGAAATACATTTTTTTCTTATCAAGATATCACACATTTTTAAGTTCTCTTTGAAATATAATAAAGAATATTATTAATAATTATAAAAATATGGTTAAATTACAGAAAGGATGGGTATTTCATATGGGATCAGTTGTGGATCCATCCCAAGGAGTCAGTTATAGATATGGGTTTGGCTTTTGGGGAAAATGTCTTATATTTCCGATCGACAGTCTCTCAGATATTCAAATAAATGAAGGATTGCTTCGAAAAGATTCTAAATTTAAGCTCAATATAATTGATAAAGTATTTGATGTTTCATTGAATACGAGTTCATTAAATGACAATATATTGAAAATTAAAATCAATGGCTTTGAAGGGAAGGCTGTGTTTATGATGGAGAATGAAGACTCGAATTTGAATATTGAAAACTATAAAAGCAATCTTTACTTTCCGT